GTGTTTGTGTATGATATGTGTGTTGACATGTGACCATAGGTCTGATGTGTGTGACTATAGATAGGTATGTGCTTGTCACATGTGTGTGGAGGTCAGAGGGAAACCTTGGGTATGAATTTGCACCCTCCACCTTGGGATGGAGTCCCTTGTTCACAACTGCGTGGATGTTCCAGGGTAGCTGACATGAGCTTCTGTGAATCCTCCTGTCTCACCTCCCAGCTTGCCATAGGAGTGCTGGGATTATAGACATCCACTAGTGTGGCCATCTCTATAAGTAGCCCAAGGCTATTCTTCTTTTTTTAATTGTTTCCTTTTTTTTTTTTTTTTTTTTTTCTCTTCTTTTTTTAATTGTTTCCTTTTTTTTTTTTTTTTTTTTGGTTAGGTAAATATTTGGACAACAAAAGCAGTTTATAAAAGAGCAATCGAAGCTGAGGGTACAGCTCAGTTGGGTGGTAGCTGCAGGAAGATCAGAAGTCCAAGGTCATCCTTGGATATATAATGAATTTTGAGTCCAGCCTGGGATACATAAGACCCTGTGTAAACAATACAATAAAATAGTAAATATAGTAAGAGCTCTCTTTTGTAAAACTGCACAGGAATGTAAGTGGCTGTATAGGGAAAATGTGGGAATTCACACCAAAGCTGATCCCTGATCCCTGCGTTTCTTACGAGTATGTATTTTGATCAAAAGACAAAAATCTCTCCCATTATTAATTTCCTTATCGCTGCAACAAAATATCTGACCAAAGCAATTTAAGGGTTTATTTTGGCTCACATTTTGAGAGCACAATTTATGATGACAGAGAAATCAAGGCACAGGAGCTTGAGGCAGTTGGTCACATGCATAGTCAGGAAGCAGAGAGAATGCTGGTACTGGGCTGTCTTCTCTTTACTCAAGAGAAGACCAAGCTCACAGAATGCTGTCAGCTACAGCTAAAGTGAGAAGACCCACCGCAATTAACTTAATCTAGGTAATCCCTCATAGGCATGTGCAGGCATGTCTCCTAAATTATCTCCTAGTTGGCTCTAGAGCCTGTCAAATTGACAGTATTAACCATCATGCCCCCCCGCCCCCCGTTTATTTAGCATGGTGCTGGGATCAAACCCATGGCCTTATGCATGCACATGCTTTGTCACTGGGCTAGACCCTAGCTCTTCCTTTTTTAAAAAAGTTTATTTATATGCCACAGAGAATGGAATTCAGTTTAGAAGGGGCGACCCGAACAAAGCAAAAAATAACTACAAACAAAAGATTCTCTATATGGAACAGAATGTGATTCCAGGAGTCCACTCAATCAATAGTGTACATGTATATTAGTTTTGTTGTGTGGTGAATGTGCAATCATAGAAAAATAATCCATGGTTGCTCTGGAAACTGAACGTTTTCTTTCTCTGTATTGGTTACTTTTCTCATTGCTGTGACAAAATATCTGACAGAAACAACTTAAAAGGATGAAAGATTTACTTTGCTCATGGTGTCAGAGGGTTCAGTCCAGGCTTGCCTGGCCTCTCACACCTGGGTAGAACATCATGGTGACAGAAGTAGTGGAGAAGGTTCTTTACTACATAGCAGATATGAATCAGAAATCAAGGGATTGGGGACTAGGACTGGGGACCAAGGGCAGCTTTCAAAGGTACACACTCAGTGACCTACTCCCTCCAAGGAAGCTACATGTCCTGAAGTTTCTAGAAACTCCAAAGTAGGGTCACCAGCTAGGGACCAAGTGATCCATACATGAGCCTGTGGGGAACGTTTCCTATTCAAACACATAACACTCTTTTCTAAGGCTCCTTTTCTGAGAATTCAGTGTTTAGGCTTAAAGCAATTATGAACTTCTTAAGAAGGGCCATGCAAAGATCTCTGCCATTATAAGTGCTATTTTTACCTTTCTCTACTCAAGTTTGAAGCCTCTTCTCCTCTAACTTACTGTTTTTCTTTATAAAGACTTGGAACACTTTTTCTGATGACTAAATCAAGAAAAAAAGAAGTCAGTCTGACCCAGAATCTAACAATCTGACAATGTAATTAAGTAAACAAAGTGCAGTCAACTAGAAATATGGGGCAATATCTGTGTGCATTAAATGAACTTTTAAAAAAATATTTTATTATTTTTTTGTGTGTATTATCTGCATTGTACGTAAATGCACCCAGGTCGGACAATACCCGCAGAGGACAGAGGAGGCTGTTGGATCCCCTGGAACTGGAGTTACAGACAGTTGTTAGCTGCCTTGTGGGTGCTGGGATTTGTACCTGGGTCTTCTGCAAGAACAACCAGTGTTCTTAACCACTGAGCCATCTCTCTGGCCCTTAAAGGAACTTTAAAAAATATATTTTATTTATTATTTTTATGTGTATGTGTGTATTACCTGCATGTAGGTAAGTGCACCTGTGTTGTGGGGGACAGAAGAGGTTGGTGAATCCCCTGGAACTGGAGTTAGAGACAGTTGTTAGTTGCTATGTGGGTGCTGGGATTTGAACCCAGATCTTCTGTAAGAACAGTCAGTGTTCTTAACCGCTGAGCCATCTCCCAAGCCCCTAAATGTAGCAAAGGTGGGGCTCATTCCTTTACTGTGGTCATGACCACAATCAGCACCATTAGAACTTTCTATAGTGATCAGAACGTTTATTATAGATTAATTAACACAGTAGCCATCAATCACAGGTAGCTATTGAGTATTTGAAATGTGGTTAGTACAATCAAGGAACTAACATTTTAACTTCTATCTTAAGTACCAACATGGGTTGGTATTTATTGAGTAGTGAAGGTCCAGGTGGTATGAATAAATAAAGCTTGTCTTATGTTATTAGAAGAGGAACCTTGAAGGCTCAGAATAATTTAAAAAAAAAGTGTTTCAAAGGAAAAAGCATGTATGAGCTGGCTTAGTTTATACTGATACTGTGACAGTACCGGATGTTAGGTTGGGGGATTGTGATAGGTTATTACACTGGGCTTCATGCAGCTGACAGGACTTAATGCTTTAGTTTATGGAGTCATTATTTCTGATCAGTGGCTGATAACAGGTCTTACCTGTTCTAGGCATTATGTTGAGTCTCACATGAATTATTTCATTTAGTTATTTTAACAATCCTTGAAAGAAAACAAAACACAAGAGAAAGGGGACTGAATTATTAAGGAGCTTCATGGAGAGAGGGGAGGAACAGTGTGGAGTTGTCTGTGCTGTAGAGCAAATAAATTAAGAGCTCCCACACTCCTTGGTAAGTCAGACGGAACTTTTCAGTCTGAGAACAGGAGGGAAGATCAGGAGGAAAGAAAGGTCCAGACAGTAGCAAGATGAAGCCAGGAGGCCTCAGGCTTGTCTTGGAAGAGGACCTTTTATTCCTTTGTGCACATGAGAACTTTCACAAAATGGATAGCAGACAGAAAACCTTTCAGGAGGGTGGCAAGGTTGCTGGAGCTAGACATTTTTTTTTTTTTTTTTTTTAGTGAAGGACCATTATCATGTGGCCTTTACAAGCTGTCATTATATAATCTCATTTTACCTATTTGATTATGCAGGGACATACTATTTTTCCCCCAATTGCTTCCAAGTTATTAAAAGAACAGAGGTTCAAAAACGTTACCAACTTAAAGGAAAAGAAATAAACGACTGTACACGAAGGTGCTGGCACAAATTCTAGGTAAGAAACAGATGAAAAAGGGGGCTGTCTACACAGATTTATTTTAGTGTAGACAAAAACCAAAAATCATTTCGGACTTTGATAAGTGCTGTAACAGATACTAAAATATGATGGAGTGATGGAAAACGTGTAGGGAGGTAGAGGTTGCACTACCGTGGTGGGGGACCAGGGAGCTGAGAACTTCAGGATGAGAGAAGTGGAAGGCTCCCCCAGACCCAACCAAGGCCAAGTGTAGAGGCTGTGCGGCAGGGACTAGATACAAAAGCTAGTGGGACAGAAGCTCGGCAAGCAGGAGGGAGTAGGCCAAAGTCGGGAGGCCAGTGGGCAAACACCCGTGCCAACGTAGGGGCAAGGATCAGGATGCCTAGCTCGCCTCCGCAGGGTCCTGACCCTCCTGCAAGCCTCCCAGCACGTGGCAAGGGGCACAAGGAGACCAGGAGCCAGAGTCCCGGCGACCTAGAGGGCCCAGCGATTCCTGGAAGCGCCTTCCAACCCTGTGAGGACCACACCCGGGCCCTCCCACCCCCGGGGCGGCCTGATGGCTTCCCACCCGGGGAGGTGGGCCCGTCCATCAAAACTTTGGTCGCATGCGCTGCGGAGACAACATAAATTGCGCTTAGGACGAAGTTCTGTGGAAAGCAGCTCTCTGGATTCCTGTCTTGTTTTCCCTTGTAGCTTTCCCGGTAGATACGCTTCTCAAGACCCTCTCCAAGCCACCCCCCCTCCAACAGCGAACGTATTGGTTTAGCCCCTCCGCCCGGATTGGCTGAGGCTTTAGGCCTCAGCCAGGGATTGGAGGACGGTAGTTCCTTTCCTCTTCGCGCTTCCATTGGCCCGAATTCCCCGTTTCTGGGCGGAGCGTCCGGGGACGGTTTCCACCCCCTTGTTTACGGGTGCGCAGTTGTAGCGCTCTGCGAGCTGGGATGGCTCTAAAGTTCCCCATTCAAGCCCGCTGACCAATTAGGGTTCTCGCCCCGCCCTTACCCCGCTCTTACCCCGCCCTCGCCCGCGCCCCCGCACGCCTGCCCGGTGGTACGGCCCACACCTTTAGAACGGCGGCGCGTGCGGAACCTGGCGCGTTCCTCTGCCGGTGCTCGCCGGCCTCCCCCCCATGCCAAGCCCGCTTGGTATGGCCCGCGCCGCCTCCTTCGCTCGCTGAGAGTCTTGACCCCCTCCCAGTCCGCGGCTCTTGGTGCCGCCCGGGAGAACCAGGTCAGCGGTCGGTTCTCGTGAAAACAAAAACAATCGGCGGCGCCGCCGCGGGCAGCCGAACGCGGCGAGCCGG